GATGCAGGAAGCACTCTTAACTGATAAGCCATCTTTCCAGCTCTCTTTACAAGTTCTTAACAGACAGGCAGGAAGAAATCTTCCCAGGACATACGTGAGCTGTGTTCTTCTGGTTCCCTGTGTCACAAGAAGGACTTTCCCAGTTCTCAAGCCAGGTAGTCATGACCTTAGGAGTGTCAAAAAAGATGTATGGGAACATCAAAGAATAGACCTGGAATGTGACAGCATTTATGTCTTTTAAGAATACTTAACCAGCCAGGTGGTGGTGACTCATGTCTTTAATCCCAGCACTTGGGAGGCAGAGGCAGGCAGGTATCTCTGAGTTCGAGGTCAGTCTGGCTACAAAGTTCTAGGATAGCCAGTGAGTGCTGTTTTACAGGAACCCTGTCTTAAACTCCCCCTTCCTTTCCAGCTCCAAATTGCTTGTCTGAAGCTGGGCAATTGGTGGCCCATGCCTTTGATCCCAGCACTTGGGAGGAAGAGACAGGCAGATCTCTGAATTCAAGGCCAGCCTGGTGTACAAAGAGAGTTCCAGGACAGCCAGGGCTACACAGAGAAACCCTGTCTTGAAAAACAAGACAATCAAAACAACAACACTGGCTGCTTTTCCACAGGGCCAGGAATTTGGTTCCTAGCACCCACATGGTGGCTCACCATCTATAACTCCAGTTTCAGGGTATCCAACGCCCATTTGGCTTCTTCAGCACAGTCCACAGACATATACACACAGGCAAAACACCAACACTCGCAGATAAAATGGTATCAGTGCAGAGGAAACTTTAATAAGCGAGGGGACAATACTCACCCATGGGGCTGAGGTATAGTTTCATTGGTAGAGTACTTGTATAACATGCAAAAGGCCATGACTCCTGTCCCCAGCAACACATAAACTGGGCATGGTGACTCACACCTGTAATCTCAGCACGCAGGAGGCGGAGGCAACAGGATCAGATAATCAAGGTCATCCTTGGCTATGTAAAGACTTTGAGGCCAACTTGTGCCACAGGAGAAGAAACATACATACAGAGAGACACAGAGACAGAGAGGCAGGGAGAGACAGAGACTGACCTGTGGCTCTGAGGTCATGAACAAAGTAACACAAAGTAATGAAGTAGCCATTAGGCCAGGTCAGGGCAGAGACTCTGAGGGGCTCATGGGAGACCGTCCTCTAGGACTTGCCTGTCGCCAGTATTGAAAGGGTTTTAGGAGGACTCATTACGATGCAGCCTGTGACGAGGTTCCCTCCTAGCGGCCTCATGAGATGTAGGTCAATGGAACACCTGCCTGTTTCAACAAGAAAGTGGTTTCTTCCTTTCTACCTCTCTCACACTCGTGGAGTTTGGTTTTAGTCTCCTGGGTGTTGGGGTTAAAGGCGTACACTGGTTGGAGAGATCTCTCAACAGTTAAGAGTACTGGCTGCTTTTCCACAGGACCTGAATTTGATTCCCCACACCTACATGGCAGCCTGGAACTCCAAACACAAGGGTTCTATACCCTCTTCTAGCCTTCATTGGATATTGCACACACATGCCTGTCATATGCAGACACACATACATGCAAAACACACACACAAAAAGCATGAACCACCATCCCTGAAGCCTTTTATTAATTTATTTTTAATGTCTCTGTGTGGAGCCTGTGGAGGCCAGAAGAGGGTGTTGGATCCCCTGGAGGTGGAGTTACAGGCAGGTGTGAAACACAAGAAATGGGTGCTGGGAGCTGAACTCAGGTCCTCTGAAAGAGCAGCCAGTGCTTCTAACTACTGGACCATCTCTCCAGTGCTGCTGCCCTCCACTTCCTCATGGTGCTTTATACATTGTAGCGCCCCTAAGAACCTGACCTTATTGTGACCCTGCATGAGACCCACTTACTTCATTGTGTATGCTATGGTCAGAAGTGGCTAGCATTCTTTATCTGTGCTGGGTCACACGTTTAGACTGGTGGCCTACTTCTTCTCCGGAACATTAGTCAGATGGAAGGCAATAGCTTCAGAGTTGGATTCCATTTAGACTTGGAACCCACAATTCTTTTTTTTTTTTTTTTTTTTTTGGTTTTTCGAGACAGGGTTTCTCTGTGGTTTTGGAGCCTGTCCTGGAACTAGCTCTCGTAGACCAGGCTGGTCTCGAACTCACAGAGATCCGCCTGCCTCTGCCTCCCGAGTGCTGGGATTAAAGGCGTGCGCCACCACCGCCCGGCTTTAAAGATTTATTCATTTATTTATTATGTATACAACATTCCTTCCATGTATGCTTCCCAGAAGAGGACACCAGATCTCAGTACAGATGGTTGTGAGCCACCATGTGGTTGCTGGGAATTGAACTCAGGACCTCTGGAAGGGAAGACAGTGCTCTTAACCACTGAGCCATCTCTCCAGCCCGGAACCCACAATTCTTAAAGCTCTCTATATCCTCCTTTCCCAATTAAATGAGTCAGAATCATTTCTCTGTGACTGACAATTAGAAAGTCCGTGAAACACCAAAAATCGCTCTCATTGTTTATAAAGGTTTGGTAAATACATTTTCTTCACTGTTAGATTGCAAACTCTGAATAGCCACTTCTATTTCTAATATAACATCCTTGCTTCCCCTACAGCATGTGGAACAGTATGGGTCACAGGCTGCAAAGTTGTAGAGTCTGGGTTAGAGATTGCTCCAAATATGTATGTCTAGAAAGTACATATATATTTGGAGCAATCTGCAGCGTTGTTGTTCCTAGCTTGTTATCTGACTGATCGCAGGCCACTCGTGTGAAGGCTCAGCGTGCTGAGGTTGGAGGGCCACCTGAGGTCAGGAATTTGCACCAGACTGGACAGGACTGTGTGACCTTGATTTAAAAAAAAAGTTGCAACATTGGTACACGTCTATTCCCAGCATTATGGAAGCTAAGGCAGGAGGAAGAGCTGTTTTAGGCTAGCCTGTGCTACATAGTGCCATTGCTTCAAAAAACAAAACAACAACATAAGAACTATGATGTTGTGTGACTGTGAGGTAGTGGGAGAAGGGTCGAGTTCAAGGACAGGCTTAGCTACACAGCCAGTTTCAGGCTAGCAGAAGACCATACCAAAAACAAAAACAAAAAACAAAACAAAATCTTGCTGGGTGGGAGGTAGTGGCAAATGCCCTTAACTCCAGCATTCAGGAGGCAGAGGGCAGGAGGATTTCTGTAAACTTGAGGCCAGCCTGGTCTGCAAAGCAAGTTCCAGGACAGCCAGGGTTACACAGAGATACCCTGCCTCGACGCCAAGCTCCCCCAAAGTTTGGCAGTTAATTACGTGTATGTCTACGTGTGTTGGCATGTGTGTCACAGCTTTTGGAGAAGTCAGAGAGTCAGAGGGAAACTTTTTGAGTGCTGGAAGCTAGATCATCCCCGCCCCCCCCCGCGCCCTCCCCCCTCCCCTGCCTTGAGACAGGGTTTCCCAGTAGCTATGGAGCCGATCCTGGAACTAGCTCTTGTAGACCAGGCTGGCTTCGAACTCACAGAGATCCGCCTGCCTCTGCCTCCTGAGTGCTGAGATTCCAGGCCTGCGCCACCACCGCCCAGCTGTTGTTATAATTATTATTTTTTTATTTATTTATTATGTATACAATATTCTGCCTGTGTGTATGCCTGCAGGCCAGAAGACCCCATTACAGACGGTTGTGAGCCACCATGTGGTTGCTGGGAATTGAACTCAGGACCTTTGGAAGAGCAGGCAATGCTCTTAACCTCTGAGCCATCTCTCCAGCCCCTGTTGTTATTATTATTAAGTTCTATTTAGCTCTCTGCTTCGTGAGTGCTGGGATTAAAGGCTTGCCACCATGCCCAGCAAGTTATCATCCTATACCATGTGGGTTCCGAGGATTGAACAGAGGCCAACAGATGTGGTGGCAAGGACCTTTGACATGAGGCATCTTGTTTGCCCTGTATTGAATAACTCTAATCTCCCTCCCTCTCTTTACACACACACACACACACACACACACTCCCCCCCCCCCCCCCCCCCCCATAGATCTCTGTGAACTGGAGGTCAGCCTGGTCTACAGAGTAAGTTCCAGGAGAGGCTCCAAAAAGTTATGGAGAAACTTTGTCTTGAAAACTAAACAAACAAAACCTTTTTCCTTCCCGCCCCCACAGAGACGGACACCCTCCCGCCCCCGCCACAATAGCTTGGGCCACCTCAATTTGGCGACTTGGAGCCTGAATTTTCATCAGTGTGACCAGCTCCCTGGGACAAACTGTGGCTGGCGGCGATTTGTCAGGTAGACATTATTTCCAGGTTAACACAAGCACACAACTTTGTGAAGCCAATTATAGACAAGACGCCAGCCTTCCTATCGCAAGTTCTCGTTGAGGTGTGGAAGTTCCTAGCTGGGAAGTGGGATAGGTGCGGGGAGGCTGCAAGGAACCACGTTCTGGAATTTAACCCTGGCTTTCAGGGTGGAGACTCCGAGAAAGTCTGTGATCCACCCTGGGGGTGTGGCTGCGGCGTGCAATCCTGGAACAACTTCAGGGACCCTCTAGCACCAAGCCTTTGGGAGCTTTCTGTTTGGACGGGCTTAGCTCCAGCTCCTGTCCCTGCGTGGCTGGCTTCGCGCGGCGTCTGCCCTCCGACTCTAGGTCGCGCCCTTCCGCGACACCTCCTCTCCGCTCTTTCTGCATCAATTTCCCCGAAAGGACCAGAGACTCGGAGGGTAACTCCCTGTTTGGCAACCCGGCTTAGAGAGACGCTCGTGAAGGTAACCCTCAGCTCCAGCCGCGGGGGGCACCCCAGGAGAAGACCCCAGGCTAGGGGACACCCCACGCCACCGTTCGCCCCTGCGCCGCCGCCGACCTGCCGCGCAGGGGCGCCCCGGGGCCTCCCCGCCCCCGCCGCGCCGCTCCCGCGCTCCCCCTAGCGGCCGCCGCGCCGCCTCGCTCAGTCCCAGGCTCGTCGGGCGGCGCAGCTCACGTGACCGCGCTCCGGGCCTGCGGCCGCTGTCGGTTCCCCCAGTCACCGAGCGAGAGGGAAGAAACAAGATGGCGGCTGCAGGCGATCCGGAGCGGGGCCCCGGCAATTCGGACTAAGCCTTCTCTCTCCACCCCGCCGCTGCCGGGCCGCGCCCCTCCCGCCCGGGCCCCGGCGGCCTCCCCTCCCCCTCGGCCCCGACGCCCCCCGGCGCCCCTCCCCCCCACTCCTTCCGCTCCCCCCCCCCCCCCCCAAGCCGCGGCTCCGACATGAGGGGCCGGCGGGGCAGGCCGCCCAAGCAGCCCGCGGCTCCCGCTGCGGAGCGCTGCGCTCCGGCCCCGCCGCCGCCGCCTCCGCCGCCGCCACCGCCGCCGCCGCCTCCGCCACCGCCGCCGCCGCCGCCCGCGTCCGGACCCATCGGGGGGCTGCGCTCGCGGCACCGCGGCAGCAGTCGGGGCAGGTGGGCCGCCGCCCAGGCTGAGGTGGCGCCCAAGACGCGGCTGAGCTCGCCCAGGGGGGGCGGCCGCAGGAAGCCGCCGCCGCCACCGTCGCCGGCCTCCGGCAGCAGCGCCAGCGGCCCGGGCCGGGGGGGCCGAGGAGGCGGGGGCGGCAGGACGGGGGGCGGGGGCGGCCACCTGGCCCGGACCACCCCGGCCCGCCGCGCCGTCAACAAAGTGGTGTACGATGACCACGAGAGCGACGACGACGACGAGGAGGAGGACATGGTCTCGGAGGAGGACGAGGAGGAGGAAGAGGACGGCGACGCCGAGGAGACCCAGGATTCTGAGGACGACGAGGAAGATGACATGGAGGAGGACGACGATGACTCCGATTATCCGGAGGAGATGGAAGACGACGACGACGACGCCAGTTACTGCACCGAAAGCAGCTTCAGGAGCCATAGCACATACAGCAGCACTCCAGGTACCCACCCAGGCCGCCCGGAGACTCCTTCCCCACCCCCTCCCCTCCCCCTTGGCTTGCTCCCTCTCGAGTGCAGTGCATCCTGCTTTCCAGCTCCCCCCCCACACACTCCGGCCTGCCCCCCACGCGGAGGCCACGGCGTGTCTAGTGACAGAAAAAAGAAAGACAAAACAAAACTAGGTTTGCAAGAGGAAAGAGGCGCATTGTTCAAAATGGAGATTGCATTGTTGCAGTTTGCAGGCCACACACTCGTTCGCTCTCCTTCTCCCCCCGCCCTTTCCTCTTCAAAATTTCTGCCAAGTGCGGTGTCTCCACCAGGCAGGATTGAAACTTTGGCACACACGTATCCATTGAGTTCGTTTTTCTCCCCTTGTTTTGGTATGAGTATTTTGTTTATTTATTTTGCGATGAAAGAAGCCTTCTGCTTTGCAAACCGTTGCGTGTCTATATACCTTTTCTTGTAGTCTGGGAAAAATTACCTGTTCCTTAAAAGAGAGAATTTAGATACCGTGGTAACGCACATAGACGTGCTTCGTTTCCTGCCCTGAGTCATAGAGTTTGAAAACTGTTGTGGAGGAAGGGCTGTTGTGCGGTGAGCAGGGAGCTTCTTCTGGTCCTGTGCGTTTGTTTGTGTTCTTCGAGTGCTCATGGGCGCGTGCAACAGTTGCTGGTAAATGGCTGATTAAAGCGAACCAGAAAACCAAATTTGGCAAGCCTTCCGATTCGGAATCGCTTTGGTTAAGTTCCAGATAAAAGTATAACACCGAAGGGCCGTGTGTCCTAACCAGTTTGATCTTGGCTTTGCGTGGGAGATGCAGTTTCGCGGCACCTGTTGCAGAAGTTGTGTAGTTAGTTGATCATCTAGGCGGAATTGCCGAAGATGAACTTTTTGAAGGCACACGGTGTAGAAATGTCAGCTTGCATCCGACGGACCTTTTCTTGTTATTTTATTTCTGAGGAAGAAGCCCTTCCTGGACCTGTAGTGGGTTTCTCCGTGGTGACTCCTCGCATGTTTTCTTCACATAGTTTCTTGAGTTTGGCCCTGGGCTGTGTCTTGTTTAAATAAAACGCACACATACAATTGCTCATTTGTATTGAATGAATAGTTATGGGGGGCATCTTAACTTGTAGCACCAGACTGTCAGGTGATTGATTCCTTTATATTCCTATTAACCTGGATTAACGAAATTAAAATATAATTTTAAGGACATTTAATGAGGACATATGATGGATGGTCTTTCTTATGAGAGCTTGCCATACCATTTTCAGAGAAGACTAGGGTAGTAGACATGATTAAATTTAAATGTTTCTATTTTTTTAAAAAAACAATTGCTTAAATTCTTAACTGCTACAAGTATGAGAATTAAACCAGATTAGATTGTGTTAGCATCAAATTAAAAAAAAGCTAGTTTTATTTGCCTGACTCTAAGAACAAGTTGCTTAGCTTAGGGGGCTTGGAGGAGCGAGATTGTCTTTTAGCAAGTTTCATTTCTTGCCAACATAGTCCAGTGCATCTTTTAGAGTAATAGGTGTTACTTTAAGAAATTAACAGTTGGGCATCTTTGTACCAAGAGCCCAGAGTTGAGCTGAAGACCGACATAACAGTAGTGGAGGAAGTTAGTTTTTGAGTTAGAACTGAGGCGTTTTGGCAGGGCACTGTATAACTTTGAACTCCTTGAAGCCCTGACAGACAGTACTGATGAATTGATGGCTGGGCATATGCTGAATTAAATTGCAGGGTGGGGTTATGGGTCCTTTTTAAACAATCATGTAAAACTTGTTTGCTTTTTAAGACTTATTTATTTATTTATTTACAGGGACTCTCTACATAGTCCTAGCTGTTTTTGTACAGGCTGGCCTCGAAGTTACAGACATCCACCTGACTCTGCCTCTCAAGAGCCTGGCAAACTTGTGTACTTAGACTTCAAAGACATTTCTCTTCCAGTGCCACTTGTGGCCTTCCTTGGTGTATACTTGTTCTGTATTTATGTGAATTAATAACTCATAGAAGTCAGTTTTGATCTTAAACATTCTGCAGCTCCTAATAGACATGCACATGGCAGATGTGCATGAAAGACTGATTGGGTAAGTTATTGTTAGTAGGTGAGAATTTTGATAATTCTGAAGTAGGTTCCATAGCTGAAATGAATAGGTTTTAAGAAACTAAAGTTGGTATAATTAGATTTTGATAAACACTTCAGGCAGTAACTGTTTTTATCAGCAGAGTATACTTAAAAAAACAAAACAAAAAAACAAAAAACTTTTAAAAAGATGTGGGGTTTTTTGTTTGTTTGTTTTCTGAGACAGGATTTCCCTCTAACTAGCTCTGTAGACCAGGCTGGCCTCGAACTCACAGATATTCGCCTGCCTCTGCCTCCCAAGTGCTAGAATTAAAGGCAAGCGCCACCAGCGCCCAGTTTAAGATGTGTTTCTAGTGTCATTTATTTATCTTTAAGTATTTTATTTATGTATATGAGTGTTCTATATGCATGCTCATCTTTATGATGGAAGTGGGCCTCAGATCTATAGATGGTTGTGAGCCACCATATGGTTGCTGGGAATCAATTTCAGGTCCTGAGGAAGAGCAGCCAGTGTGCTTAACCGCTGAGCCACCTCTCCATCCCTGTTATTTTTTTTTTTTTTTTTTGGTTTTTCGAGACAGGGTTTCTCTGTGGCTTTGGAGCCTGTCCTGGAATTAGCTCTGTAGACCAGGCTGGCCTCGAACTCACAGAGATCCGCCTACCTCTGCCTCCCGAGTGCTGGGATTAAAGGCGTGCGCCACCACCGCCCGGCCATCCCTGTTATTTTTAAATTATGTGTATGTGTCTATGTGAGGGTATGTGCAGGTCAGATCCCTTGGAGCTGGAGTTTCAGGTTCACAAGTCATCTGCCATGGGTGTGAGGAATTGAACTCAGGTGTTCTGGAAGAGCAGTAAGTGTTCCTAAGGTTCAACCATCTCTGTTTTAAACTGCTCTTTTCCTTTTTTCTCTTAGCTGTGGCATTGAGTGTTTGGTCTTTTGAAACAAATTACTTCTTCAGATGACTATAAAAGGATGCTACATTTTGTGTTTTTACTTTCCTAGCATGTCCATTGTTTGCATTGAGTATCCATGGCAGCATTATTGTGCCATTATTTTTATTCTTGGTACACCTGGGAGGAGACTTCAGGTCAGTGTGTATGTGTATATCTGGGTTAAGGTATACTTAAGCCACTCTGGGACAGCCAGGGCTATACAGAGAAATCCTGTCTCAAAAAACACAAAACAATAAGATACACCTGAAGGGTGTGGTAGTGCACACCTTTAGTTCCAGGACTCTGGAGACAGAGGCAGGAGGATCTCTATGAGTTTGAGTCCAGTCTGATTTACATAACAAGCTCAAGCCCAGCCAGGACTACATAGAGAGACCCTGTCAAGTCTACACATCTTGTGTAGTTGAGGCTTTAGGTAATGTAGAATAGTTTGGTAGTTTTTTTTTTTTTTAATAATTTGTATTTAATGTACATTGGTGTTTTGCCTGCATGCATGTCTAAGTAAGGGTGTCTAGTTTCCTGGAGCGAGTTATAGATAGTAGTGAGCTGCCTTGTGTGTGTGTGTGTGTGTGTGTGTGTGTGTGTGCCGGGAATTGAACCCAGGTCCTCTGGAACAGCAGCCAGTGTGCCCTTAACCACTTAACATTTTCCCAGCCTTAGTTTGGTTAGTTTTTGTAGTTAGAATGCTGGCTTGAGTATTAAATAACTGGTAAAAAGAGCTATGGATGTGGTTCCGCTGGTACAATGCCTGCTTAGCATGCTTCAGTTTCCAGCACCTGTGCCGGGTTTGGTAGTGCATGCCTGTATCCCAGCTCTCTGGAGGTGGAGACAGGAGGAACAAAAGTTCACAGTCATCTTTAGCTATATAGTGACATACACATCCGACTGACATCAGACTGAGTACCATAACTTACTAACTAGTATACAAGTAGATACTACTAAATAAATTACTTAAGAAATGAGTTCCAGTGGTGGGGAAGAGACAGAAATCTTTAATAAATAAATAAATTAAAAATAAAAAAGAGGGCTAGAGAGATGGCTCAGTGGTTAAGAGCATTGCCTGCCCTTCCAAAGGTCCTGAGTTCAATTCTCAGCAACCACATGGTGGCTCACAACCATCTGTAATGAGGTCTGGCGCCCTCTTCTGGCCTGTAGGCATACAGACAGAACATTGTATACTAAATAAATAAATATTTAAAAAAAATAAAAAAGAAAGAGAATCTGAGGAGAATAGCATAGCAAAAAAAAAAAAAAAAAAAGAAATGAGTTCCTAGACCTGGGCGGTGGTGGCGCACGCCTTTAATCCCAGCACTTGGGAGGCAGAGGCAGGCAGATCTCTGTGAGTTCAAGGCCAGCTTGGTCTACAAGAGCTAGTTCCAGGACAGCTAGAACTGTTACACAGAGAAACCCTGTCTCGGAAAAATAAATAAATAAATGAATGAATGAATGAATAAATAAATGAATAAATAGAAATGAGTTCCTAGTATAACAAGTAATTCATTGACCTATTTATTGATTTTTTTTGTTTTTTTTGGTTTTTTTTTTTTTTGTTTTTCGAGACAGGGTTTCTCTGTGGTTTTGGAGCCTGTCCTGGAACTAGCTCTTGTAGACCAGGCTGGTCTCGAACTCATAGAGATCCTCCTGCCTCTGCCTCCCAAGTGCTGGGATTAAAGGCGTGCGCCACCACCGCCCGGCTTCATTGACCTATATTTATTGAGTACTGTGTAAGTAATATAACTGTTGATGCACAGGATTGTCTTATTAGGGTTACTATTGCTGTGATGAAACACCCTGACCAAAAGCAACTTGGGGAAGAGAGGGTTTGCCACAGTCCATTGAGGGAAGCCAAGGCAGGAACACAAACCTGGTAGGGACGTGGAGGCAAGAGCTGATGCAGAGGCCATGGAGGAGTACAGCTTCCTGGCTTGCTCTCCCATGACTTGCTCAGCCTGCTTTCTTATAGAACTC